AGTCATCTGACCAATTAGAGCAGAGTAGGGTCATCTGGCCAATCAGAGCAGAGTCATCTGACCAATTAAAGCAGAGTAGGGTCATCTGGCCAATCAGAGCAGAGTCATATGACCAATTAGAGCAGAGTAGGGTCATCTGGCCAATCAGAGCAGAGTCATCTGACCAATTAGAGCAGAGTAGGGTCATCTGGCCAATCAGAGCACAGTCATCTGACCAATTAGAGCAGAGTAGGGTCATCTGGCCAATCAGAGCACAGTCATCTGACCAATTAGAGCAGAGTAGGGTCATCTGGCCAATCAGAGCAGAGTCATCTGACCAATTAGAGCAGAGTAGGGTCATCTGGCCAATCAGAGCACAGTCATCTGACCAATTAGAGCAGAGTAGGGTCATCTGGCCAATCAGAGCAGAGTCATCTGACCAATTAGAGCAGAGTAAGGTCATCTGGCCAATCAGAGCAGAGTCATATGACCAATTAGAGCAGAGTAGGGTCATCTGGCCAATCAGAGCAGAGTCATCTGACCAATTAGAGCAGAGTAGGGTCATCTGGACAATCAGAGCAGAGTCATATGACCAATTAGAGCAGAGTAGGGTCATCTGGCCAATCAGAGCACAGTCATCTGACCAATTAGAGCAGAGTAGGGTCATCTGGCCAATCAGAGCACAGTCATCTGACCAATTAGAGCAGAGTAGGGTCATCTGGCCAATCAGAGCAGAGTCATCTGACCAATTAGAGCAGAGTAGGGTCATCTGGCCAATCAGAGTAGGGTCATCTGGCCAATCAGAGCAGAGATATATGACCAATTAGAGCAGAGTAGGTTCATCTGGCCAATCAGAGTAGAGTAGCGATCATCTGGCCAATCTGACTAGAGTAGAGTCATCTGGCCAATCAAAGCAAAGTAGGGTCATCTGGCCAATCAGATTAGTGTAGGGTCATCTGACTAATCCGAGCAGAGTAGTCATTAGACCATACTGACTAGAGTTGGGCCATCTGACCAATTATAGCAGAGTAGAGTCATCTGGCCAATCAGAGCAAAGTAGGATCATCTTGCCAATCAGAAGAGTGTACGGTCATCTGACTAATCCGAGCAGAGTCATTTGACCAATCAGACTAGAGTTGGGCCATCTGGCCAATCAGAGCAGTGTAGCGGTCATCTGACCAGTCAATGTAGAATATGGCCATCTGAACAATCAGACTACACTAAGGTCATCTGACCAATCAGAGAAGAGTAGGGCCTTGTTTACACCTGATATTAAGTTGTGGTTTTGTCATTTCAATTTCCAGTGGATAAATTCTAAATACAGTCGTAAATAGGGTCTACAGCATTTTAGGGTTGTCCAGTTTTGGCTGGTTCCAGAGGTACTTGAAAGTGCTTTTAACCAGCAGTGTTTCCATATTGTAGAGACTCATGCGGCTGAATGAGTTCAGACATCCACCAAAATCCAGCTTCTCTCATCTACTGACCGTACACCAGAGCAATTATGGATGTGTTGTGAGAAAGTGCACCAAAATTATTGATACTTCACAGGACTGTACTAAAACAATCAAAGTATGATTAAAATCATTGTTGCCATCCACATATATTCATTCCCTTGCTCTCTTGTACGCCACATAACGGGTTCACACTTTGAGGAGTGATCTACAACTTCTGCATTGATCTCGTAACGCATTATGGGAGTTGTTTGCAGGTGATCATAAATCTGTCGGTCACACAGGAGGCACTGTAGATGGTATTGGTGTGACTGTTTTTTCAGGCAGCGTTGGGGGTCATACATCTGTGCAAATCCGAACTGTGCCTGACAGATTTGTTGATATCTGCTGACGGTTTTGATGAGCCGACAGTCTAAGTTTAGCGTTTTATGAGAGAATGCACTATTAGCAGACTGGGATTAAAGTAAACCCTGAATCGCCAGTTTAAATAACAGACAGATCACTTCTGGCGTTTTGCACAATGAACTAATCTTAACATTTCCATTTTCTCCGTTTTTGGGGAGTTTCTTCTTTTACTTGTGTAAAAAAACAACAACTATGTACACTACCTGACAAAAGTCTTGTCTTGATCCCAGTTGTAGTTGTCCCTGTTGATCATTTGCAAAAGTGGCAGAAGGTGGATTTCTCTGCTGAATCTTCTGTTGATCTGCATCCCAATCATCACCAATACTGCAGAAGACCTACTGGAACCAGCATGGACCAAGATTCTCACAGAAATCAGTCAAGTTTGGTGAAGGAGAAATCATGGTTTGGGGTTATATTCAGTATGGGGGTGTGTGAGAGATCTGCAACATCAACAGCCTGAGGTATCAAGACATTTGTGCTGCTCATTACATTACAAACCACAGCAGAGGGACAATTCTCCAGCAGGATAGCGCTCCTTCTCATACTTCAGCCTCCACAGCAAAGCTCCTGAAAGCAAAGAAGGTCAAGGTGCTCCAGGATTGGCCAGCCCAGTCACCAGATATGAACATTATTGAGCATGTCTGGGGTCAGATGGAGGCGTTGAAGATGAACACAGAGTCTTGATGAGCTCTGGGAGTCCTGCAGGAACGCTTTCTTCTTCATTCCAGATGACTTTATTAATCAGTGATTTGAGTCGTGTCAGAGATGTATGGATGCAGTCCTCCAAGCTCATGATGGAGTCAGACACAATATTGATTCTGTCTCCACTGCAGCAGGACTTTATATTCTATACTGGACATTATTTCTGTTCAGTGATGAGACTTTAGTCTAAGCAGAGTCAGACCTTACTGTCCTAATCAAATCATTAACAATCAAGGCATGATCAGATTTTATTGTGCTCAAATAAGTGTAATCTAGAGGCCTTTGCCTTTCATATACGCCACTTCTGATATCAAATGATCAACTAGAAGTCAAGTTATTATTTGCTGTTCCTAAAATTTGGATAGGAGACGAGACTTTTGTCAGGTAATGTGTATATTGATTGAGTTTCTTATGACTATATGTACAATAGCAGTGGAATTTGCTGCCATGTGACAGGGCGCCACCTGAAATCTTGCCTAGGGCGCCAAATTGGTTAGGGCCGGGCCTGCTGAGGTGAACTGCTGCTGCTTTCAGTAGTAGGGCAATAAATGTCATGTAAAATGTCATTCAAACTCACATTATGAGAATTAAACACTGAATAAAGCACATGAGGTGTACCTGAGCTGATCATTGTCATTTTCTCGGTTGTTCAGCTGTTTTAAATAGAAGCCGTTTCTAAAATATCAATTCGAGGTGTTGGTTAGGACAAAAACTCCTTTTAATATAGAAAAAATCCGTTCTATCGCGAGCTGTTGCTTTTATTTAGAACACGGTTTTGAAGGATGCGGATTTCTGCTTTCCAATCCGTCTCAACATGGACCAACGTTTATCCTTTTCATCATCCTGTTTCTCAGTATTGAATTGTGAATTGATTTTAATTAGGGATGTAACGGTATTGTAAATACCGTCATACCGCAATATTAATTTTTTTCGATATTACCGTAGTCGCATGACTCGGTAAAACTATAGGTCTTCTGAGAAAATTTGCTCAGGCGAATGAAGCGAACGGGAGGTAGCGAAAACTACAATTCCCATCAGCCCATGCTTGACCATCATCCCTTGCGGTCTGTTGTCGCTACAGATCCAGTAATGCGGAAATGGAGTGTGCTGCTAGAAGCGGGGATCAAAAAGAGCTGGAAAACTCTAAAGCGGGTGTTGTCGTCGCGCGAGTTCTTATCAGCTGTGTTGTCGCGCACCTACTGAATAGCGGTGTTGTTGCGCGCGTACTGAGTAGCGGTGTTGTCGCGCGAGTTCTTATCAGCTGTGTTGACCTCTATCTCACTCATGGTTTGTCCTCTTAAGTGGGGGAAAGACAATGCACAACGTTACCCACTGCTGTCAACCTGGGCCAAGCCATATCTCTCTGTCCCAGAAACCTCAGTCCCAAATGAGAGGGGTTTTTCTGTTGCAGGGGACATTGTAAATACCCAGAGATACCAGCTTTTACCAGATTATATTTAGATGATAATTTTCCTTTAAACCCATCTCTATCTAAGTGAGTGAGTGATTAAATGTTGAATGTGATGAGTTTTCAACAATACTAAATTGAAACTTTATTTTTTTTACATGGTTTAATATTTTTTTGTTATTAAAATTGAAGTTCCTGTTTCAAAGCTTACAGATAGATGGCTAATTTGTATGTCATTGACACTTTTGGCACTTTTTTGGAGTATTTTCATAAGTTTTGTTTTTTCCTGTAAATGATTCAATAAATACCGTACCGTGACATTCATACCGAGGTATTACCGTACCGTGAAATTCTGATACCGTTACATCCCTAATTTTAATTAATGTATAAGTTAACATATTGCTTAATATAAGAATGTGCAGAGCATTTGCCAGTCTCTTTATAACTATTTTCAGAAGCCACCACTCTAGGTCAGAGGTCACGGAGACCTTGAGTGGAACTGAGGGCTGAGGACTGAAAACAACTGTTTCTATTGTTATTTCTACGAGTTAATATTGTCTAAAATGTCTAAAGTGATTTTGCTATTTTTACTGTTAAATCTTTTAAAGTGATGCTACTTTTTATTTAAGATAGACTTTGAGTAGTAAGGAATTATAACTGCCTGAATGTAGATTACACCAGTTTTTAACCAGTTTTGATAAAGACGGCTGAGAGTACACTCAGCCTTGGATAACAAACAGATTATACTTTATGTGTGTGTGTTCTATTTGATAGTTGATCCATTTCACAGGTCTGGAGTCAGCTCTAATCAGTCTAAGGGATGTCTGACGTTTATGTTTAGATATTGTTCAGAATTCTACGCACGAACCTCACGTAGAAATTTTCCTAGTCTATCGGTGTTTTGACCAATCAGGTTAGAACACCTGTATGTATGACGCAGTTAATGGAGTTATGTGAGAGTATAATTGTTATTGATTGGTGACTGTAAGCAGAGCGGCCTAGGAACTCATTACGAGTGTTGAAGCTGGCTTCTGCGAATGAAACTGCAAACTATCTTCAGTAAACTTGATTTATTTATTTAAATCTCTGACTCCGGCTACCAGACTAGTCATTCTTTGGGTTAAACTGTAAACCATCCCTACAGTTTAAATCCGCCTTTAGGCTCGATTGTCAGACTCGCTCCTTGGTCGTCAATCTGGCAACCTGCGCTTGTGTTTGTTTTGATCCAGGAATGCAATACCTAGTTCAACCCCTGAGTGTCAAACATACATACTGCACCTTTAAGTTTAAACCACAGGAGTGTAAAAATAAAACAAAACAAAAAAAAACATTCTGCTGATTAAATCATTTTCATTAATCTCATCTTACTTACTAATGATACAGAAATCGAACAGTATTCACATTAGAATCATATTAATCAGCAATCAGTATCAGTCACATCAACAATCTTATTCTCTAATACACACAAAAATGAACGTTCAGTAATAAATTCATCTTTAATGCGAACATCGGCACATGTAAAAGAGTCAACAGATTTAAGTGAACAATGATAGCATGATATCCAGATTCATCCTCGATGTCCCGCGTTAAACATGTCAGCTCCAACAACAACAACAACAGCATTGAGTTCATGAGTCAAAGACAACCGGAGCTTCATTGTGGAGACCAAAAACTGAAAATCTGTATGTACAAGCAGCTCCGTGAGGCTGAGAAACACTTACTCTGGAGATCGAGAGCTCTTTCACATGCATTAACTCTTCTGAATGTCACCTAAATACACATCTTGTTCCCTGCTGGAGAGTCTCGAAGCTGTTTTTGGAAATCATCTTATTCAAATCCTGCGACGTTACTCTGAGAATAAGATGGTGAAGGCCATGACGATGCAGCAAAACGCTACGTACGGGCTCTTGCGCTCGCCTGGAAGATCACAGAAAAGATTATTAGTATACAAATAATGCAGAACAAACTCTCTGCACTGTTAAAAATCCTGGGATTAACACAATTCCTACATGTCATCCCAGCACAAGTCCTTTAAGTTATCCAAATAGTTTGGTTCAGTGGATTGAACAAAAATCTTAAGAATTCACTCACCTATTCTTGCACACTTCCAGAATATTCCAAGGAATCTGCAGATAGAGGAAAATGGTTATATATATATATATATATATATATATATATATATATATATATATATATATATATATATATATATATATATATATATATATATATATATATGTCGCGCGCATCATATCAGCTGTTACCGCGAGTGATCATCCTCTCTTTCGGTATTCACCTGCTTTCTATTGCTCGCGCGAACGCAATTATTTTTTGTTATTCGCGCTGTTTCTCGATTCTAAGATCACATTTGCAAGCATATTGGGTCAATCTTATGCTGTGTTCACATCAGATGCGGAACGCGCGGATAAATCGCGCTATTCACGCGTAAATTGCCGCATGAACATTTGAGGTTAATCGTTTAATTTGCGCGTCGAACCCCGCTTCATTCGCGTGTCAAATTCACTTCAGAACAGACGCGGATTCACATGATGGGCAGGGCTTCTGTCTGCCCGGTGACTGTAGCTTCGTTGCTAAATGGCTAACATGGATTTTATGAAGAAAATAACAGTGTTTATGTGCTTTATGAAGGCTGAAAAACAGCGTTGATACGTTTAGGGCCGTTTCTGAGTCCACTACATCCTTTCAGAGGTGCATCCAGTTGTGTGAGCTCATAAACTCCTCCAGAAACTGAGCCTGGATGACGGAGGCTTTCAGCGGTGCTTCTGACTGAGCCCAGCCCAGTTTGATGACTTGTTGTCGGTGTCCGCTGGAGGATTTATCCTGGGACACCATTAACAGGTTCTACGTCACAATCACGCCCCCACAAGAGCAAGCTCCTGATTGGTTAACGTGGCGTGAATGTCCGCTGAAGTTCAGATTTTTGAACTCGAGAGATTCGCGCGAAACGCTTGTTAAGTGTGTCAAACGCGCAAAGCTCTCAATTCGCCCCGCGCCATTCGTGCTGCGTCGTTTGCGCTGCAGTATGTCTGTTTGCACGTTTGCATGTACTTAACATGTAAATCACTCGCGCTTGACGAACGTTCCGCGTCTGGTGTGAACGCAGCATTATAGTCGAACCTTGCTTTTAAGAAAACCAGAATTTTAAAAATTATTTTCAACAAGCCAAAGTGGCTAGTGGGAGTGACTGTCTAACCCGCCAAAGCTGAAATCTATGCGCATTTGGCAGGTTGGCGAGTGTTAATGTTAAGCCCTGATCACAGGAATAATTTTAAACTGATTATCAAGCCTGAATTTATTCATAGCCCTGGCGAATTTTGACTGCCATTCTTTGTTCAAAGGTAAATAAAAGCTGAGAAATATTTTGTTTTCCACAATGATGCCTCTTGTACATTGTCTTATCCGATCAAAAATTGGATGAATAAATGTACTTCAAGCCAGAATTTGAGCCAGGGGTATGTAAAAAAACTGCAATAGTATTCTTAAAAATAGTGCTGTTACCATATCTGAGATTAAAATAAATGCATGAGGAAGAGCTTTAAAACCATTACAAATCTATTGGTGATTTAAATAAGCAGTACTACACAAATACCCCGATTTCACAGCTTGGCATAAGAAAAAAGTGTGTCAAATGTGTCTGAGCGATGCCGAAGATTACAGAAGGCAGAAAGAGATGAATGACGAGACTCGAATGTCAAAACAGACAGAGACGTACGAGCAGACGGGCATCTGGAGCCATCAGAAACAACAAACACAGCTCAGCGCCAACATCCACTGTCAACAGGATCCCCGAAAACACATCCACGGTACATCTGTTTGAAAATAGTCCCGATGTGGGTGATATTAAACATGTGTAAGGCAGTAAACGTACCCTGTTTTGTTCTTGTCCAACAGGCTGGGAGTGAGGGACCGTATGTACGCGCATGTGCAGATGAGCAGTAAGATGACCGTCAACAGACTCTGGAAATTAAATATGGCAGACTGCAAAAGAAAACAAGTAATTCGTCACTTATTAACAATTACTTAGGATGGACTGTAATCAGGGTGTGAATTACAGGGGGGTTTGGGGGGGACTGACCCCCTTATTTAACGCTTGATCCCCACTAAAGGACGTCAGAACATGATATATGGGGGGGGGGGGGCAGTCTTTTAATACTGAGAAATATTTCACTCTGAGATGTATTTTAAATAATAATGTTAATAATTAAAATAATAGATAATATAAATATACATTTGACCACCGCTAAAACCATTTCAACAGTATAATCAAGCCAAAGTCAAGGAAAAGTCTGAAATTGGATGATCTAGAGCAGGGGTGTCAAACTCAATTCCTGGAGGGCCGAAACCCTGCACAGTTTAGTTCCAACCCTGCTCCAACACACTTACCTGTAGGTTTCAAACAAGCCCGAAGGACTCAATTAGCTTGATCAGGTGTGTTTAATTAGGGTTGGAACTAAACTGAGCAGAGCTGCGGCCCTTTTGGAACTGAGTTTGACACCTGTGATCTAGAGCAGTGGTTCTTAAAGTGGGGGTCGGGACCCCCTGGGGGGGTCGCGGGACAATGACAAGGGGTCGCTTGGTGATATCCAAAACTCAAATAAATTTTATTAAACTATTAGAATTACCATATTTTTATTCATAACCGACAGAATATAGTTAATAGTTGCATTAAAGAAACAACAACATAAAAATAACAATCAGCCATCAGCCTTTAATTTTAAAAGCAAAATGTAATTAAATCCATAAATGACTTTTAAAAACATTATATGGCTAATAGACTGTTGCATTTTTGTGTTGTCAATAAGCTCATGTTTATATTTGCCTATAGTTGTGTCTGCAACGTTTACATATTTACAGTACAACCACCTTGAAAAATGGGGGTCGCGAGCCACCGATATAATTACTTTTAGAGTCGCGGGCTGAAAAGTTTGGGAACCCTAATCCAGAGCACTGATAGACATCTTGTTCACAAGACTTTTTCTCGTAAATCAGTTGTTTGTATCTACAGTGCATTTAGCCTGAAAGTAAAGTCAATTTAGGTATTAATATTGTTTGTAGTTTAACCTACGGTAATATCAGAAATAGCTAATCAGAGAATACTGTAAGTCAGAATACACTAAATAATATCCCTGAAAACGATGAAAACTTAACTGTTTTATTAATAGACAAGATGTAATTAAAAATAAATGCATAAATAAGTGAATAATTTATTACACAAACTAAGGGGAAAAAATTTGACCCCTCCCCCCTCAAGTGAAATATTGAATATACATTAAAAAAAAACATTGTTTACATATCAAAACTTGGTCACACTTTACAATAAGGTTCATTAGTAATGCTAATTAATGTATTTACTAACATGAACAAATAATGAACAATGCATTTACTACTGTATATATTCATGTTAATAAACGTTAGTTAATGAAAATACAGTAGTTCATTGTTACTTCATGTTAACTCATGTTGCATTAACTAATGTTAACAAGCATGGACTTGGATGTTAATAATACATTAGTAAATGTTCAATTATGATTAATAAATGCTGTACATGTGTTGTTCATGATTACTTAATGTTAGTAAATGCATTAACTAATGAACCTTGTTGTAAAGTGTTACCCAAAACTTACATTGATCACCATTTTTTTTGTATAAATTTAATATAAAAAGACTAATATGTGACAAAAGTTATATAATTTTGGCATGACAGCCTAACACGGAGCCTAAACATCTATAACCTTTGTCAGTTATTGTAGTATATTGATATGATGTGAACTGTAGGAGTAGAAAAAAAGATAATTATTACTTTATATGTATTTTATTTAGATTTTTTTAATAATAATTCAGGGTTTTCACCTTTAATTGACAGGACAGTGGAGAGTATTGACAGGTAAGTGTGGGGAGCAGAAAGAGGGAAAGGATCGGCATAGGACCTCGAGACGGGAATCGAACTCGGGTCGCCGTGAACACCGGAGTCCCATGTGTTGATGCACTAACCACTACACTACTGACTTTTTCATGAATTCTAACAGTGTTTACTGTGTTTACATCATGACATTTCATGTCACAATATAGAGTTGAAATCTTTCATTTTTTTCTATTTTAAATATTTCCTAAATGATGTTGAACAGATTCAGGAAATTTTCACAGTATGTCTGATAATATTTTTTCTTCTGGAGAAAGTCTTATTCGTTTTATTTTGGCTAGAATAAAAGCAGTTTTTAATTTTTTAAACACCATTTTAAGGACAATATTATTAACCGCTTAACGCTATATATTTTTTTTCTGATACAGAACAAACCATTGTTATACAATAACTTGTCTAATTACCCTAACCTGCCTAGTTCACCTAATTAACCTAGTTAAGCCTTTAAATGTCACTTTAGGCTAAAAACTAGTGTCTTGAAAAATATCTAATCTAATATTATTTACTGTCATCATGGCAAAGATTAAATAAATCAGTTATTAGAAATGAATTATTAAAACTGTTATGTTTAGAAATGTGTTGAAAAAATCTTCTCTCCGAAAAAAATAAACAGGGAGGATAATAATTCTGAATTCAACTGTAAATTAGTAAAGTTTTACATTTACATTTTACAACTTTCACATTTAACCCATTTAGCAGAGACTTTAAATGAGTTAAATCCTCTTAAATGAAGCACTAAAGTTTTATTGTATTAAAAACACTGTGAAAACAGTAACATTAACAGTTCTCCATTTTATTGAGGTAAAGTTGTCTTTATATTCGCACATTCAGACTTTCTCCCTGACAAAATCATTTCAGAAAAGTATTATTTGCAAAAATCCTAATAGTAAAGTCATATTATCAGCCAATGACAGTGCAACATTGCTCACAGTAAGTTAAATAATGTTGTTTTGGGCGGCACGGTGGCTTAGTGGTTAGCACTGGCCTCACAGCAAGAAGGTCGCTGGTTCGAGCTTCGGCTGGGCCAGTAGGCATTTCTGTGTGGAGTTTGCATGTTTTCGTGGGTTTCCTCTGGGTGCTCCGGTTTCCCCAACAGTCCAAACACATGCGCTATAGGTGAATTGATTAACTAAATTAGCTGTAGTGTATGAGTGAGTGTGTGAATGTGAGAGTGTATCCCATCTGCTTTGTATGCTGGAATAGTTAGCGGTTCATTCCGCTGTGGTAACCTCTGAAATAGAGACTAAGCTGAAGGATAATGAATAAATTACGGTGTTAAGTCATACTTAAATGCGATTTCAGACCTAATGTTTAAATTAGCGTAAAAAACTATTATAGTGAGCGTTAAAATGAACGACTGTGCGAATATAAAACCATTTTACCTCAAAATCTCTACAAGAATACAGTACAAAATATAATGTTATTCATCATTTTGAGCAGTTGTGCTTCTCCAACAGCTTTCTTCACATTTTAGTACATTCCTATTATTAAATACAGCATTCATTCATAAGAAATGTTCAGTTTTTTATAATTATTATTTATTTTTGGGGGTGAAATCAGCAGATTTAAGTAAAGGCGTGTTTTCTCAGTGCCACATCACACTCACAGATAACAACTCAAATACTGATCTTATTGATTTCAGATTTAGAGTCCAACAGAAAAGTGTCAGCTCAGTATAATAATACAAAATAAATAAAACAGAGACACGGATTAATCAGCTGTTTTCTGTTGTTTATATTCTGCAACATCACATTTAGCATCCGCTGACGTCGCTTTCAGTTTAACGAAAGCACCGATTAAAACATCGCTATATCAGACAGTACACAGTTATATATCACAGAAATTATTAAATTTAACAGCTCGACTTACACACGCATCTCTTAACTACTCCAAAATAACACTTTTGCGCTTACCATCTTGCTATCCCCTGTCGGCCAACTCACACTTCCGGTGTAAGATGGAAATGACGTCACCTGTACGGCAAGCTAGAAGCGCGAAAAGCTCAATGGGACAGGGAAGTGACAGCAAGTTCAGCAGCAGCAGGAGTATTCCAGTCTGATTTAAAGCTCCTTTTTAAATACACCACTTAACTTTCCTCGCGGAATGAGGTGAGATTTTCACGCTTGTGTGGATGAAATGAGTTTAAAGGGGAATGTGGTTGTGGTAAATATGGCGCGGTTGAAATATTGACAGTCCATGCAAACACAAACTAATATTCATGCGGTGATGCACACTGAAGACAAACAACCGTGAGAGATGTCAGTTATACCGTTTGTTTATCTTGTTATTGGGAAGTGTAGGCGCAGCAGTGGGGAAAGTCGTTCAATATGATTCCGACCTTGACATTTGGTCTTTATTTGATTCCTTTCAGATCACCATGGCAACCATAGTTTACACAGTGCATTATTGTTAGTGTCACATAATACGATAATAATATTAATAATAAATAAATGTGTGTGTGTGTGTGTATATATATATATATATATATATATATATATATATATATATATATATATATGTATGTATGTATGTATGTATGTATATATGTATGTATACACACACACACACACACACACACACAGTCCCTGGCTACTTTAATAGGTACACGAGTCCATCTACTCGTCAACGCAAATTTCTAATCAGCCAATCACATGGCAGCAACCTAATGCATTTAGGCATGTAGGCATGGTCAAGACGATCTGCTGCCGTTCAAAGCGAGCATCAGAATGGGGAAGAAAGGGGATTTAAATGACTTTGAACGGGGCATGGTTGTTGGTGCCAGACAGGCTGGTCTGAGTATTTCAGAAATTGCTGATCTCCTGGGATTTTCACACACAACCATCTCTAGGGTTTACAGAGAATGGTCTGAAAAAGAGGAAACATCCAGTGAGCGGCAGTTCTGTAGGCGCAAATGCCTTGTTTGTACCAGAGGTCAGAGGAGAATGGCCAGACTGGTTCCAGGTGATAGAAAGGCAACAGTGACTCAAATAAGCACTCATTACAACCGAGCTCTGCAGAAGAGCATCTCTGAACACACAACACGTCCAACCTTGATGGGCTACAGCAGCAGAAGAGCACACCGGGTGCCGCTCCTGTCGGCTAAGAACAGGAAACTGAGGCTACAATTCACACAGACTCACCAAAACTGGATGATAGAAGATTGGAGAAATGTTGCCTGGTCTAATCCTGCCTTGTATCAGCGGTTCAGTCTGGCTGGTGGTGGTGTAATGGTGTGGGGGATATTTTCTTGGCACACTTTGGGCTCATTAGTACCAATTGAGCATCATGTCAACGCCACAGCCTACCTGAGTATTGTTGCTGACCATGTCCATCTATTTATGACCACACTGTCTTCATCTTCTGATGGCTACTTCCAGCGAGATAACGCTCCATGTCATAAAGTGGCAATCATCTCAGACATGACAATGAGTTCACTGTACTCAAATGGCCTCCACAGTCACCAGAGCTCAATCCAATAGAGCACATTTGGGATGTGGTGGAACGGGAGATTGGCATCATGGATGTGCAGCCGACAAATCTGCAGCAACTGTGTGATGCTATCATGTCAATATGGAGCAAAATCTCTGAGGAATATTTCCAGTAGCTTGCTGAATTTATGCAATGGAAGATTAAGGCAGTTCTGAAGGCAAAAGTGGGTCCAACCCTGTACTCATGAGGTGTACCTAATATATATATATATATATATATATATATATATATATATATATATATATATATATATATATATATATATATATATATATATATATATGCCATAAGCAGTTCTTGTAATAACTGATTAATTTGTAACAGTTTAAACAAATTTGTATACATTATTTATATATGGATAGATATACTGTAAATTATCTTTATTAATTAATTTATTAATATATACTTTTAGTAACATTTTTGAAACCCTGTCAATGAAATAAATAACATTGAAACATGTACCTCTAAATATTGCTGTTTAACAGGATTTCAGATAGGGTTTTTTGTCTGTAAGGTTATGAGAAGAAGCTTTTTTGATAGATTTAGTTGTAAAAGATCATAATTATGTTGCTTCATATTTGAAAAGACCCGGGATATGGCTATTAGTTGCAGTTTTTCAGCTTAGATGTGATGTGGCTTTGACCTGTTTGCTGCTGTTGTTGTTGTTGGTGGTGTTTTTGTTTGTTTTATCCATTTCCACATGAATGCAAACAAATTTATTATGATTTTGTATACTTTTTGGCAAGTTGCCCCATAAATGTTTACATTTACTTTTCAGAAAATGTCAGAATTATTTATGAGATACATAGTGAGGCAAGAGTGCACATATGTTTGCAGTGATGTTGGATATATGCATGTCATTGCTTTTTTGCTTTCTGTGATGATGATGATGATGATGATGATGATGATGATGTCACACTGTCATCACACTGAGGCTTTTGTTCCAGAATCGACTATTTCCTTTCCATTGACGCTCTAGTGATTCTGTCAGTCTGACGGTGCGTACGAACACACAAAACACAAGCCGTCTGTTTCAAGAGTCTCTTGCTGAGCATTAGCATTTTTTCCACTATGATAAAGCTAGAATTTATTAGACTTTTCCTTTCAAAAAAGACTAGAGAATTGATTCGTTGTGTTGCGCTTCCGACTGCTTTTGGGAACAGATCTCAAATCTGCAAGCCATCAATCTGGTGAATATCTCGATTCATCCTTGTTCCTCAGTAGCAGGAAGGAGTAGAAATCTGAAATATGCAAAACATGGAGTGCAGAAAAAAACGAGGACTCCTGGGGAAGTTAAAGTTTGGCTCATATAATTGTCGTTAGTGGTTAGTACTTAACAAGAAGGTCGCTGGTTGGAGTCCCGACTGTGTCAGTTGGCATTTCTGCATGGAGTTTGCATGTTCTCCCCGTGTTGGCGTGGGTTTCCTCCGGTGCTCCGGTTTCCCCCACAGTCCAAACACATGCTCTATAGGGGAATTGAACAAAAAACAAAAATTGTCCATTGTGTATGTGTGTGAATGAGTGTGTATGTGTGTTTGCCAGTACTGTGTTGCAGCTGGAAGGGCATCCGGTGTGTAAAACATATGCTGGATAAGTTGGTGGTTCATTCCGCTGTGGCGAGCTCTGATGAATAAAGGGACTAAGATGAAGGAAAATGAACGAAATGATGTTGTTTTCTTGCAGTTAAACCTGTTTATCCTAAATTCTGAGGGCTGCAAAAAAAACTATGCTATAAAGCAAACAAAATATAGACAAATTTAGTAGCATTTGTGGATTTTTTTTATTGATTAATATTTAAATTGATGTATTGAAATAATGGAAATAGATTTTTTACATAGCAGTACTTCCCACACATAGACTTTACTTGGGCGGGCCGCCCTGGTATATTATCGGCCGTCCAAGTATATTTTAGTGACACATTTTTTTTGTACTATTATTACTATTGTTATCATCCTTTTACGATATATTTATATCCACCTAATATAAACAAACCTCCGCGAGCGATTTAGTGGAAAATCTACTCTCCTTTACTCGTTTCAGTCTCAGACTCATGTGCTCTGCAGGGTTTCTAAATCTGCTCAAAAGTCCGGGATTAGGTTTTGCTTTCGTTTTTAAACTGTCGTTAATCTTATGCGCACAGCCTCAGACCAAGAGAGACATAAATTATTAATTCTTTAATCTAGACCAGGGATGTCAAACTCAATTCCCGGAGGGCCGCAGCCCTGCACAGTTTAGTTCCAACTCTAATTAAACACACCTGATCAAACTAATTGAGTCCTTGTAGGTAAGTGCAGGCTACAGGTAAGTGTGTTGGAGCAGGGTTGGAACTAAACTGTGCAGTGCTGTGGCCCTCCAGGAATTGAGTTTCACATCCCTGATCTAGACGACTCAGAAAAACTTTTTAAATTGGCTGCAGAATATTTGTACACAATTAGAAAAAGGCTAATCAACTCATTCTTCTCATTTAAATAATCTACACCTTTTATTCTTGTAATTATGATAATTTTTTAGAGATATGGTCTGTTTTTATTCCTTTTATCTTTCATTTATTTTTTATTTACTGTATATTTGATTCATTTGATGTCGATATGTTACATATTTTATACATGTAAAATGATTTGGCAGTACTGTACAAAATATTAACCTGAACTTGAATGAGAGATAGAGAAGCAGATTTTACCTGTCAGTGGGTGCACATGCCTCCTAATTAGCTTAAAAGACAAATAGGGATTTTTAAAAAAATTTATTTTAAGTCTTTGTTTTACTCTAACCCATTGAAAAGAAAATATTTAAACAGATAATAATACAAAATAGTGTTAAAAAGTTAATTAGGTTTTGTTTGTCACATATAGTTAACTATTTATGCACTGTGGGGAAAAGGTGTGTTTCGATCCGGCTACCACTGCAAATATATTTCAAACCTGTGGGAAGCACTGGATAGTAGAATTATTAGTGCCAGTAACTTGCAGGAAATTGGTTTAATTATAATTTTAATACAGTAATGTTTTAAAGAAACATTTATTTTATGTAAAATAAAATAACTTATATTTTGATTTCAGTCCTAATAATGAAATGTAACTCATTAAAGATGGCTCATACAAGTATTATACCCCTTTTTACATGATTTAAAATGCATCTCTGATGTCTCTAAAGTGTGTGTGTGTGAATTTCAGCCCCAAATAGCACACACACAATGTTTTCCAGCTCTCTGAAATTGCTAATTGTGACGTTTTGGTGACTGTCGCTTTAAATCTAAATGAAATTGTGCTCTTTTTCAGTAGAGGGCGGAGCTACAGATGCCTGTGTGTCAGCATAGTGGCAGATAAAAAAAATACTAATGCTAATGAGGGGGAGAGATGGTCACTAGTGGGCGGGGCTTTCCCCCTCTGATGACACGTACAAAGGGAGAATGTCAATCAAAGTGTTTCTGCAGGCTTTTCATAAAGTCTGATTATAAACAATACAATTTACACATTTATACCATTAGAAATTGGTTCTATTCACACACTGCTTCCAAACAACTGTTTAAACTTCTTATAAAAGTGATTTTTGCAAAATGGGGCCCCTTTAAAGTAGTAATAACTTGTAAAATATACTCCAGTAATCTTTATTCACAGCTGCAATGTGTGTGCACTACAAAATAGACAGTAAAACTTTCATTTCAGAGTCATTTGATGTTTGATGATCTTCGTGAAAGTGGTTTGGTGTTGTGTAAATCAATCTTGTTTGGACAGGAGGGTTTTTGGATGACCATCTGTGAGCTTCTTTACAGAGGAATGTGTCTTAATTACACCTCCGCCAGTGTGGTTTTGAAGCTCTCGTGTGTATTATTTACAAACCAACAATCTCTCTTGACTGCTACTGTGAGTTCGACCCTCACCCTCATCAATATAAATCGTTTCTGTCGAGTTCCCGGTCAGTTTAAAAGATTACAGGCGTTTTAAATCATTACTTTTTACTCATCTTTCATTAATTTTCCTTCGCATTAGCTTAGTAGCTTATGTTATCAAGGGTCGCCACAGTGGAATGAACCGTCAACTTATCCAGCATATGTTTTACACAATGCAATCTCACGGCAGTTCGTAACTTTTTGATTTAGTGGCTAAATCGTATCAATTCGTATGATCTAATTTGTACAGTTTAGTACGATTTCCTCATCACCCAATGACAATTGGGGTTAGGGGTGTGGTTAGGTGCCACGCCTCCTTTTTTGAATCATACATTTTCGTATGACTGAACTCCTACGAATTAGCCACTAAACTGACAAAACGTAAAATACTTGCGTTTCCCCGTGAGATCAGGCTGGTTTTACTCAGCGGATGCCCGTTCAGCTGCCACCCAGTACTGGGAAACACCCATACATTCACACGTACACTATGGCTAATTTTCATTCAATTACCCTGTAGCGTATGTGTTTGGACTGTGGGGGAAACCAGAGCATCCGGAGGAAACCTATGAGAACACGATGAGAACATGCAAACTCTACACAGAAATGCCAACTGGGACTTGAACCAGTGACCTTTTTGCTGTGAGGCCACATTGCTAACCACTGAGCCACTGTGTCACCCTTTTTTTGTTCATCAAAGATTGAAAAATAACTATATGCTAACTAAATAACTGTAATAATGGATAACTCTTATGAGGGAGAGAAAATAAATTATGGGGAATTTTCATTTTTGGGTGAACTATGCCTTTAAGTAACGTTTACAACTGTTGGCAAGTAATACTTTTACTTGAGTATGGTATTTCAGAACTCTCTTCTCCACTGATACTCGCATCCTAATCCATAATATGACACACATCTCTTGTTTAGTTTGGATAAAACCGCATTCTAGATAAATGTTTGGGTAATTAGATTGACTTTCATAAGGAGCGTGTCCAAACTTTCCACCCTGTCCTCTATTTTGAGAGAATTCTTTGTCCAAATTTGTGAACGCCGCCTTCTCATATTCCTGCGTCTGTCATTATTGCGCTCCAGAGATCAGCTGAGTGCAGATGTTACTGTAGGTAATGAATGGCTGCCTGTTTCAGATTCTCATCCAGGTTTGAGCTCAAGTCAGAAATAGCAACAATGGCTGGTGATGCGTGACGGGAGGGAAACAGATGTGAAGTGTTCGGACACATTGATTATCAGTTTGACGAGCAGTTAAAGTCAGCCCGTCTGAAATGTTCTGTGTGTTTTTGTTCACCTTTCCCCTCGCGCTGCTCATCGTCAGCTTTGACCTCAGAGGTCGAGTGTTTCTCACACATGTTCATTCACCAAAAGCTGACCAGATCTTAGAGAACAAGGCTGCTGATGGTCAGGTCTGCATAAAATGTTACTTTTTATGGCCTTCGGAGATGAATAGGTTTTTTTTTTTTGTCTTTTTCAATGCAGTTTTTATTTAGGAATTCACAACTGAAAATGAGTAGATGCATTTAATTAGTTGTCCCATATTGTGTAAAAAAAAAAGAATATATATATATATATACAGTTGAAGTCAGAATTATTAGCCCCCCTGAATTATTAGCGCCCCTGTTTATTTTTTTCCCAAATTTCTGTTTAATGGAGGGAAAATTGTTTGAGCACATTTCTAAGCATAAAAGTTTTAAAAAATTATTTCTAATAACTGATTTATTTTATCTTTGTCATGATGACAGTAAATAATATTTTACTTGATATTTTTTAAGACACTTCTTTACAGCTTAAAGTGACATTTAAAGGCTTAACTAGGTAAACTAGGCAGGTCAGGGTAATTAGGCAAATTATTGTATAACGATGGTTTGCTCTGTAAATGATTGAAAAAAAAATTTTAATTAAAGAGGCTTATAATTTTGTCCCAAAAATGTTTTTTTTTTAAACTAATAACTGCTTTTATTCTAGCTGAAGTATTCACAGCCTTTGCTCAATACTTTGTTGATGCACCTTTGGCAGCGATTACAGCCTCAAGTCTTGTTGAATACGATGCCACAAGCTTGGCACACCTGTCTTTGGGAATTTATCTATATCAAGCTCAATCAGGTTGGATGAGAAGCGACGGTATACAGCCACTTTCAGATCTCTCCAGAGATGTTTAGTAGGATTTAGGTCTGGGCTCTGGCTGGGCCACTCAAGGACATTCACTGAGTTGTTGTTCAGCCACTCCAATGATGTTTTGGCGGTGTGCTTTAGGTCATTGTCCTGCTGGAAGATGAACCGTCGCCCCAATCGGAGGTCAAGAGCACACTGAAGCAGGTCTTCATTCAGGATGTCTCTGTACATCGCTGCATTCATCTTTCCCTCTATCCTGACTAGTCTTCCAGTTCCTGCTGCTGAAACACATCCCCACAGCATGATGCCAACACCACTATGCTGCACTGTAGGAATGCTATTAGCCTGTTGATGAGCGCTGCCTGCTTTACTCCAAACAGTTCAGTTTGAGTCTCATCAGACCAGAGAGTTTAGTTTCTGATGGTCTGAGAGTCCTTCAGATGCCTTTTGGCAATTCCAGGCGGGGAGTGTCTTCAGTCTGGCCGCTCTACCATATAGGCCTGATTGGTGGATTGCTGCACAGATGGTTGTCCTTCTGTAAGGTTCTCCTCTCTTCACAGAAGAGCGCTGGAGCTCGCTGGAGTGACCATCGGGTTATTGATCACCTCCCTGACGAAGGCCCTTCTCCCCTGATCACTCAGCTTAGATGGCCGGCCAGCTCTAGGAAGAGTCCTGGTGGTTCAAACATCTTTCAGAGCAGCAGAAATATTTCTGTAAGCTTCCCCAGCCTTGTGCCTCAAAACAATCCTGTCTCGGAGGTCTACAGACAATTCCTTTGTCTTCATGCTTGGTTTGTGCTTTGACATGCACCGTCAACTCTGGGCCCTTATATAGACAGGTGGATGCATTTAGATCATGTCTAATTAACTGAATTGAGCACAGGTGAACTGCAATGAAGCTGCTGAAACATCTCAAGAATGATCAGTGGAAACAGAATGGACCTGAGCTCAGTTTAGAGCTTCACAACAAAGACTGTAAATAATTATGTACATGTGATTTTCCTGCTTTTTTATTTTTAATAAATTTGCTTTTTTTTCACATTATCATAATGAGGCGTTGTGTAGAATGTTGAGGAAATAAATGAATTTAATCCATTTTGGAATAAGACTGTAACATAAACAGCTGTGGTAGAGCTGATTACTTTCTGGATGTACTGTATATGTACCATTAAGATATACAAATCTGTAAGTGTATATTCGATAAATAATTATGCTTTTTAAATATTTAAAATGTAAATATGTACAATACTCCCATCATTCCAATAACCACAAGAAACCTTGTAAAACACTTCAGCACATTTTCCGTTATTTTACAGACTTATTTGTCTAGATATTATGTATTATACATTATATTATTACTTCAAACTACTTAAAATGTCAATAAAATCACTTTGTTAAATTGTAGAGTTGAATTTCCAACATCAAAAGTGGACAGAGCAGAGATCAAGTTCCCATAATGCAATTCACAACTGAAAATAAAGACAAAACATGTATAATAATTACCATGGCAGACACCTTATTCTCACAGATGTAACGGAATGCTGTGTGTGTGTGTGTGTGTGTGTGTGTGTGTGTGTGTGTGTGTGTGTGTGTGTGTGTGTGTGTGTGTGTGTGTGTGTGTGTGTGTGTGTGTGTGTGTGTGTGTGTATGTATGTGTGTATGTGTATGTGTATGTGTGTGTGTGTGTGTGTGTGTGTGTGTATGTGTGTGTTGTGTGTGTGTGTGTGTGTGTGTGATGTGTTAATTAAGTGTTTTATATGTTCAGCAGGTGTCGCAGCAGTAGTGTGCGTCAGATCTCCATCTCCTCTGAGCCTCAGCGCTGTTTCTTCCTCAAGTTGGAATGGGCTGAAGATCTCGGCTCCGGCTTCGTCATCTTTCTGTGTGATGGGGAATCTGCCTGGAGCGGTGAAGGTAAGAGCTCAAACAGTTAAAGGGTTTGTTTTTTCTTTCTTTCTTTATGAATCAAATGTTTTTAAGGGAAATCATGCAGGGTTTCAAATTCTTTACTGTTGATCATCAGTTGCAGTGCAAAAAAAGCTTTTTCTGTCCTCTATGGAGTATAGAGTGTGTGTGAGAGAGACCTTTGCGCACTTATCTTGGCATGTCTGAGAAACTTGAAATAAGCCTCTCAGAACACAGTAAACACAGTAAGTGAAAATTAGACATTGTACCTTTTCCCAACAGGGAAAACCAGCAACAATCAAGAATGCATGATTATCTGCTGTCATGGCTTTGCAATAAAAAAATGTGATTATAATTGAAGTCAATGGGGTAAAAACAACCCCCAGCACAATGAAAGGGGAGTCAATTTGAACAGTACACAAGGTTTAACTGTAAGCTTGGTGTTAGAGATCTGCGCGGGACTAAATTTTGAATCCCGCTCCCGTCCGAACCCGACCGCTCCCGCTTATATAAAGCATATGTTGTCCCGCTGTCCGACCCGCCCCGTTTTCTACCCGCCGCGCCCGATCTCGCTAAAGAGTGGGGGGAGAACAAAACCGAAAACCACCCAGCTATACAGATTCCAGACAGCCTATAACAAGCTGTCTGTATAAACAAACACACACAGCGCCCAAAGAACACACGCATAAGCACCAAGCACACACACAGGAAAAGCTCTCCCTCTCTCATTGGTGTGCGCACACACACACACCCACCCACCCACAAACCCACCCACACACCCACCCACCCACCCATCTCATTCGCGCGTGCAAACAAACAAACACACACACGCACGCACGCACACATGCACACATGCACACACGCACACACGCACGCACACACACACACACACACACACACACACACACACACACACACACACACACACACACACACACACACACACTTATTTTAGAGTGCAGATTGAATAAGTTTTATTAATAATAATAATTATGAATACATTTATTTATATATATATATATATATATATATATATATATATATATATATATATATATATATATATATATATATATATATGTATATATATATATATATATATATATATATATAAATGTAAAATATATATATTTTGTGGAGTTTGCATGTTCTCCCTGCCTTCGCGTGGGTTTCCTCCGGGTGCTCCGGTTTCCCCCACAGTCCAAAGACATGCGGTACAGGTGAATTGGGTAGGCTAAATTGTCCGTAGTGTGTGTGTGTGTGTGTGAATGTGTGTGGATGTTTCCCAGAGATGGGTTGCGGCTGGAAGTGCATCCGCTGCGTAAAAACTTGCTGGATAAGTTAGCTGTTCATTCCGCTGTGGCATCCCTGAATTAATAAAGGGACTAAGCCGACAAGAAAATTAATGAATGAATGAATGAATATATAGTTAAAATATATATTTACTATTTTCCCAAGTGTATATAACTACTACTGTAAGATAATATCAGCATTTGGTACATATTTTCAGTATTATCTTAGCTTGGACTGACCCGATCTAATCCCGTTTATATGAAATGAACCTGCTCCCAAGCAGGTTTGAGCTACCACAACTGTTGCTAAGACGTCAGAGAATGTTTTCATCAAGATTTATAAAATCATCTAACCTGGTTGTATTTTATTTGGTTTTAAACTCTAGCTCTGGTTGTTTTTTGTTCAGTTTCCGAGGAGGACGTGTCGCGGGAGGCTCGTGAGATGGAGATGGAGCGTGATCGGTATGTCTGTGACCTGCAGCTGGCCCTGACCGGAGCACCATCAGGATCTGGAGCTTCAGATGAGGGTGAATTTACCTTCCAGCTGACACCTGAGCGGCCCGGACGACCCCAACTGCAGCTGTCTTATGAGAAGGTGCAGAAGGACATCTCGGTGAGTCTCGATGAATGACACTGAAACACACACGCTTTATAATCAACACTCCAGCAGCTGACTCAACATTACACTGATTTTGAGGTTTTGTGTACCGTGTAGGTAAAGTCAGATTTTAAGAATCATGGTCAGGTCCTTGATTATGTAGGAAACAACTTGATCCAAATTGGGAAAAAGTGAATTACCAGAGATCAAATCACTGCCAATTTAGAGTCTTCTAATGACCTTTTTTGTTTTTCACATATTTTTTTATTTATCTTCCAGAGGTTTTCTTATTTTTGTTCATCAGTCAGGTTTTGTTGGTGTGTTTAGTCCACTTCAGTCATTTTCAAAAAATATATCAAATTTAACGGCTAACACACTTCATTCATTCATTCATTCATTCATTTATTATTTCTTTCTTTCTTTCTTTCTTTCTTTCTTTCTTTCTTTCTTTCTTTCTTTCTTTCTTTCTTTCTTTCTTTCTTTCTTTCAATCAATCGTTTATCCATTTAATCATCGACTTAATTTGTTCACTCATTCATTCAGTTAATCACACACGCCTTTAATCATTTATTTACTAATCAAATTTTTATTCATTTATTCGTTAATTCATTAGTTCATTCATTCAATATTTTGCTAACTTGTTCATTAATTCATTCATTTATGCATTCAATTATTGGCTCACTCACTCCATTCTTTCACTTACTACTTTTTTATTCATTCATTAAGTCATCAATTAATACATTCAGTAATTTGCTAACTTGTTCATTCAATTATTATTCATTTATTCATTCAATCATTGGCTCAGTCATTCATTTATTTACCCATTCATTAATTTACTTGCACATTCATTTATTCATTCGCTCACTCCATTTATTCACTAACTCATTCCTTTTTTCATTCATTCATTCATTCATTCATTCATTCATTCATTCATTCATTTATTCATTCATTCAATAATTTGCTAACTTCTGTAGTTAGTTTGTTCATTTATTTATTCTTTTTATTAATTTATTCATTAGCTCAATCATTTATTAATTCACTCACTCATTTATTCACTTATACATACATTCATTCATTCATTTATTCAATAATTGGCTCAATTATTCATTTTTTCACTCATTCAGTCAGTCAATCACTGATTCCCTCATTCACTCACTCCATTCATTCACCTACTCTTAAATTTTTTTCTTCATTCATTCATTAGTTCAATAATTATTTAATTCAGTATTTTGCTATCTTATTCATTAATTAATTCATTTATTTATTCAATCATTGGCTCAGTCATTCATTTGTTTACTCATTCATTCCTTTACTTACACATTAATTTATTCATTCACTCACTCCATTCATTTACTTGCTCATTTTTTGTTAATCAATTCATTTGTTCATTCACTCATAAGCTTATTAATTAATTAATTCAACACTACATTTGTTTAGTTACTCATTAATGAATTACTTAATTCATTCAAACGACATTCTTTTATTCATTTTGTCATTGGCAAATAATCATTTGTACACTCTCTTGTAAGTTCACTCTCGTTCTCCCACTCGCTCATTAATTAATTTATTCACGTACTCGCACATTAATTTATTCATTGTTTTACATACTCATTCGTTGACTCACTCATTAATTCACTCATTCCCTCACTCACTTGTTCGTTCGTTCATTCATTCATTCATTCATTTGTTTATTCATTCAATCATTGGCTCAATTGTTCATTTGTTCACTGACTTATTATTTCAAACCATCATTCCCTCCCTCACTTGTTCATTCATTCATTCATTCATTCATTCATTCATTCATTCATTCATTTGTTTATTCATTCAATCATTGGCTCAATTATTCATTTGTTCACTCACTCATTAATTCAAACCATCATTCCCTCCTTCACCTGTTCATTAATTAATTAATTAATTCATTCATTCATTCATTAACTCATTTGTTTATCCATTTAATTATTGGCTTAATCACTCATTTGTTCACTCACTTGTTCATTCTTTCATTTATTCACACACTCATTTATTTATTCATTCACTCACTCTATTCACTCACTAATTCACTCACTCTCTCTCAATCACTAGTTAATTCAGTAATTCATTCACTCTTTCTCTCACTCATTCACTCTTTCGTATATTTCTCTCCACCACTTGTCTTGTTCGTCTATTCGGGCACATTTATAAATTCAGTCTGTTGTAATTCCGTCAACTTCATCAATATTTACTTCCTCCCAATCATATTCTCCTCCACTCGTCCGCTCCCTCCACTAGACTCATTCACATCTGTGCGATGTATGAGAGCAGCACCGCTCGATCTCCGCTGATTGGCCAAAATGGCTCTCAACACTTAACCATTCCCAGAGAAGCAGCGCTCTTTATGTGGAGCTTTAATTGAGGTTTCCCTCGACTGATCTCATGCCAAGCTCAAGGGTGTCGAGGAGCTCCAGTGTCTGGAAAACCTTCGCCAAACACACAACACGTACCGGATCCAGTGTTTTTACTGTACGCCATTTGTTCAGGCTAAGTTCATCCATCACTTCCAGCCCAGTGTAATTGTGAGGAGTAATTACTGAAGCCTGGAGAAATCTGAAGCTGACATAAGGTTTGCTTTGTTTCAAATGACTCCAGTGAGGATTTCTTCTCTCTGACGACTCCAGACGCATCTTAAAGTGAGGACTAAACGTTTCACGTGCTCATTTTTCAGGTGTCTTCTGAGGCCTTTTTGACATGAGGCTCCTTGCTGTATTTATGAATGGAGAAAGAGCATAGAGACATGAGGAAATGATTGTATGACTCGAGACAATTCCTATTATCCTTACAGTCAGATTTATGGATATTTCATTTCATTAGGTTGGAAATATATGATCAGTTGCACTTCATTCTTTTTTATAAGGTAGGAGTTTTCAGAAATCAAAACAATAAAACTTTAATACTTTACTAATTCATTCATTTATTAATTTTCTTTTCGGCTTAGTCCCTTTACTTTACTAATGCATTAGGATATTTCTTGTTTTTAGCCAAAAATATGGAGATATAAGCTATACACTACCTGACATAATGTTGTCTCCTATCCAAGTTTTAGGAACAGCAAATAATAACTTGACTTCTACTTGATCATTTGGTATCAGAAGTGTCTTATATGAAAGGCAAAGGCCTCTAGATTTTGCTTATTTGAGCACAATAAAATCTGATCATGCCTTGATTGTTAATGATTTGATTAGGACAGTAAGGTCTGACTCTGCTTAGACTAAAGTCTCATCACTGAACAGAAATAATGTCCAGTATAGAATATAAAGTCCTGCTGCAGTGGAGACAGAATGAATATTGTGTCTGACTCCATCATGAGCTTGGAAGAACAGGACTCCCAGAGTTCATCAAGACTCTTTAGATTCATCTTCAATGCCTCCTTCTTCATCTGACCCCAGACATGCTCAATAATGTTTATGTCTGGTGACTGGGCTGGCCAATCCTGGAGCAGCTTGACCTTCTTTGCTTTCAGGAGCTTTGATGTGGAGGCTGAAGTAGGAAGGAATCCTGCTGGAGAATTGTCCCTCTCCTGTGGTTTGTAATGTAATGAGCAGCACAAATGTCTTGATACCTCAGGCTGTTGATGTTGCAGATCTCTCGCACGCCCCCATACTGAATATAACCCCAAACCATGATTTCTCCTTCACCAAACTTGACTGATTTCTGTGTGAATCTTGGTCCATGCTGGTTCCAGTAGGTCTTCTGCAGTATTGGTGATGATTGGAATGCAGCTCAACAGATGATTTAGCAGAGAAATCCACCTTCTGCCACTTTTACTAATGATCAAATAGAAGTCAAGATATTATTTGTTGCTTTTACTACTGGGACCCACCACAAGACTTTTGTCAGGTAGTGTAAATCTCTTATGTTTAAGCATATGTCAAAATATAGTTATGTCTTTATTTAGGCTTAAAATACTCATATATTCTTTATACTTTGAATAAGCTAAATTGGCCATAGTGTGTGTGTGTGTGTGTGTGTGTGTGTGTGTGTGTGTGTGTGTGTGTGTTGTGTGTGTGTGTGAATAAGTGTGAATGAGTGTGTTTCCCAGTGCTGGGTTGCACCTGGAAGGGCATCCACTGTGTAAAACATATGCTGGAATAGTTGTTAGTTCATTTCACTGTGGCGACCCCTGATGAATAAAGGGACTAAGGCAAAGTAAAATTAAATTAAATGAAATGAAAACGACCATACATTATGAAGTTCTTAAAATATGCAATATTTTTATTCTAGTATAATTGAATAAACAACAGATCACTTAAAAATGTGTTTAACCAAGAATAAGAGACATTTAGGATCTAACTTCATGATATAATCATTCTCTGAACAGACTTGCTGTATATTATTCGAGAACTGCTTTTATATGTAAAAGAGTGCAACGTGTTGTACATGTTTTGTAGATTTGAAAATCTGGGTCAAGTAAATTACTCAGATCTTTAGTATTAAATAAAATAGAAGTTCCAAGAGTTCAGTCAAAGCAGGGTGAATCCGCCTTCAGCTACTAACAGCGCCCCCCGCTGCTGGAATCAGCTGTCAAAAATGATCAGATGTGCTCCAACATCAGGCACATTCACATCAAGACTGAACACACATCTGTTTAGCTGTGCCTTTACTGCATGAGCACTGTGCTGCGTCCCACAGATTGCACTATTGTGTCTTTCTTTTCTTTTTCATTCTTTTATAACCTATTTTAACACATTTTAATTAGTTTTTAACCATTTTTTAAGTCTTAAATTCTTCTTTTAGTTTCTTTTAATCTTGATTATGTAAAGCACTTTAAAATACCATTGTGTATAAAATGTGCTATATACATAAACTTGCCTTGCAATTACAAAATCCACATTCACTCAGACATTACAAAATAATTTTTTTGCAAATAATTACAAAGAAACTGCATGTAAATCATTGATCTAAACATCAGTTTTAAAGGTTCAGGACACCCTGGAGAATTTTTTTTTTATATTAACAGATGTGTGTGTGTGTGTGTTGAG